TTGAATGATACCCCACGTAGGACTTTGTAGACTTCCCACTTCACTGGGAGTAAAATCCTTATTCATCTTCCTACTCCCTCTATATGAGTCACCCTGTCCCACTCTCTTTACCTGCAGCAGGAATGAATATACCAAGTTCTTTCCTATTTACAGGGTTGGTTTTTTTTTGTTTGTTTGGTTTTTTTGAGTACCTACTGTGTGCCAGGTACTGTATCAGGTATTTGGGGAGGAGCCTTCCAGGCTAAGAACTGGTTGGCTTAAAGCCCTGAGCTGGGAATGAGTTTAGCTTGTATGAAGACAGTCAGGAGATCTTTGTGGCTGAGCAGCCAGTGGTGGGGAAAAGGTGGAGAGGTAGAGTGTCCCGACCCACGGGATATTCAACGCAGACCCTGGAGGGGGGAGTGGGAATTGGATGGGACAAGAGACGCGAGAAATGGAGACCAGACAGTATTCTGATCAAGTCTCGTTTATTGATTCTTAGGTTACATCTTATATAGGAGAAGGCAGGCATGCTGCAAAGGGTCTGGAATGTAAAGATATGATAATATCTTGAGGAGAGACAAAGACAGGACATTCAAAGTAAAGGTTGCCACCCAGAATGTTTATGGTTAAACAGTTTCTAGAGAAGGATAAAAGGTCACTTGCAAATTAACTTGCATAGCCAGGAGCAATCAGTTTCAGGCATAAAGATTTCGAGGCAGTTATGTAAAGCATGGCCATCTGAGCAGATTGTCAAGGAGAAGCGGTCTCACAAGAAGGGGTGTGGAGCTTCAGGCCCCCAACAAAATCTAAGTGTGTAATCATAATCAGCAGAGACACAACTCTGACTACAAACAGAATTCTTTCTCCTTTTATGTTGCCAAGAATGCATTAGCTCCTTACAGCCACAATTTCATGAGCACTGCCATTTCAAAAGAATGTTTGCAGCTTTGTAACTAAAGACTACATTTTCACAACACAGAGAACAGTTTTCTCCATAGTTGAATTAATATCTTCGCTTGTACTGGCACTAAAGATTTTAGTATGAGCTTAGCATGCTTGTTTACTGTTTGTTTTGTTTCTGTCCCTCATGGTAGAGGAGATGGGCAGGCAGGCAGGAGAGGGCCCTGAAGGCTAGGCATGGATTTTAGGGGAAGCTGTTGGAGGTTTTGTTTTTCTTTATTTTTTTTACTTTAGTGGAAGAGTAGAGGTGATACAACTTAATTTTTTTTTTTTTGACTGGTAAGGGGAGCGCAACCCTTGGCAGGGCGTTGTCCGCACCACGCTCAGCCAGTGAGCGCACCGGCCATCCCTATATAGGATCCGAACCCGTGGCCTCGGCGCTACCAGTGCCGCACTCTCCTGAGTGAGCCACAGGGCCGGCCCACAACTTAAATTTTTAAAAGCTTTCCTCCTCTGGCTGCTGTGGGGAGAATGGTATGTGGGAGCAGGGGAACCAGTGAAGAGGCTGCATCAGTGGTCCACATGAGAAGTGGCAGTGTAGACAAGGTGGTGAAATGTGGTTGGATTGCTGATATATTATGGGATGTTTAGCCAAAAATGTGCTGATGGAGGTGAAAGAGGAAAAGAGGACTCAAGAAATCTTACAAGTTTTTGACCAGAGTGACTGGTTGAATGGTGGTTTCATTTCCTAAAATGGGGAAATTGGGGGAGTGAGGGGCGAGAGGTGGGGCCAAGGAGTCAGGAGGGCTCAAATCTGACATATCATAGATTCAAATGGACATCCATGTGGAGATGCTGAATAGGCAGTTGGATTATATGAGTCTCAAGTTCAGGGGAGAAGTTTGTGCTGGAGATAAATGTGTGGGAATCATCACAGTAGAGAATCCGTAAGACTGGATGAGCTCATCTGGTAAGAGTTAGAGAAGAGACATCTGATGGAGACCTGAGTCTCCAAGCATTAGAGTCTGTTAGATGAAGAGAAACCAGGAAGGTAGGAGGAAAAGTACAGGAGGATAGAGTTACAGATGCCAGGTAAAGAAACAGTTTCAGGAAGCAGGGAGTGATGAATAGGATTGGTGCTTCTGGGAGAAACAAGTAGGTAATCGACCATCAGCTGTGGGGATCAGGCTGGTCTTCTGATACTTTGAGAAGAGCAGTTGAGTGGGGTAGTGAAGTCCTTAAGGAGGTGAGAGGATATGGAATCGGGCTCCATGGAGCAGAGACAGCTCACATGTCTTAACAGAAACGAACGCCCAGTCTGTAGCTACAGATGAGGACTAGTGGATTCCATGGAGAAAAAGTGGTATACTTCTGAATTTTTCTCAAGTGTGAAGCGAGGTTGTCAGTGGACAGAGAAAGATGTTGGAGGTTTCGGAAGAGTAGAAAGGGAAAGTGAATTTAACTAGGAAAATGTAATGGGATTGCTGGAGAGTGTGCTATGTGTGCCTTGAGATTTGTGGTCTTAACAAATGAGACCTCTTGGTGTGGTTGTGATTTTCTTCCTTGGATGCAGTGGATGGTTGGGTTCAACCAGGCTGGGAATTTTGTCAAGTGAGTTCTTAAATGGAAAGAGGGCGAAGGGGACAGTGGAATCCTAAACTGTGAAAGGAAGAAAGTGAGACCATGAGAGAGGTGTGGTGAGGGACAGTGGAAATGGGCAGGATTAATGGATTAGAGGTACAAATGGAAAGAGGGCGAAGGGGACAGTGGAATCCTAAACTGTGAAAGGAAGAAAGTAAGACCATGAGAGAGGTGTGGTGAGGGACAGTGGAAATGGGCAGGATTAATGGATTAGAGGTAGTGACCTGACAGACAGTAGCCTTGTTAGGGCTGGGACTCTGGAAGGAGAGAATTGGAAAGATAGGACATGGCCAGAGTTGGTTGCTTGAAATCCAGATTTCCAAGGAGAGCTATCATCAGTGATGGCCTACTAGGGATGGAAGGGTGGTAGGAGGAAGGGGTTGTGTTGAGGTGTGGTAGGAGTGGTTCCTCCCATGGTGGGAGGAGTATTTCATCTCTGAAATTGTTTAGATGCTCTGTAGGAAGCAGACTGTGAGTGGGCTTTATTATTAAATTCTCAAATTTTCTACAGAGTCCTTTTCCTCTTTTCCTTTAACCCTCCATTTTCTTAGTTGATTGGCAGAATCTAAGATTCCCTAAAGATAAAAATCAGCAGGAGTCCTAGGCCCATTCTAGACCTATTGAATCTGATTTACCAGGGGAAATTTACAAGCATGCCAGATGAATCTTATCAGGGAAGTTTGCAAATGATCTAGGGACTGACCTAGGGTATGACCTTGGGAATGTGACAATGTGGTGGGGATGAGGGTTAGATGATTAGATGTATTAGAGTATTGAAACAGTGAGAGAGCACATTTTAGTGTCCTCCTCTCCTGCCTGAGAATTTGGACAAACTTGAGACATTTGGGGTGGCAGATGTAGGCCAAAATATACCTTTTATTACTAACCATATTGAAGCCAGAGGATGATCAGTGTGAAAGCCAAATGATCCTGGTAACTGAACCCAAACTTGAGCAGTTACACATCAGTTACAGGCAAGGTGTGCCTGGGTAGGTCTCTTTATGTGGAAGAGCAGAGAACAACTACCTCTCGCAGCTTGCTTGGAAAAGAAGGGAGAGCAGAACTGAGCATGCTCAGTTTATTCCTCTCAAATTTAGTAATCAGACAAGTCACTCTACCTCCCCTGGGGCATAGAGGACAAGAATATTAGTTATACTGATTGGTTTCTTCCATGCGGAAAGAAATATCAGAATTGGGAAAG